TGTGTTTACATAATTTCTTCTTATGTGTTCACAATATATTATAACATACCTAGCAAACATCAAATAATAGTTATAAAACTTTTATTTAAACTTTTATTTGGTGTTCGTTAGATAATTTATTGATAGATATTGAAAAACGCAACAACATTCGATATGAGATGAATATTAATGTAATGTAATGAACCAGTGATAATTACTTTTAAATTTTTAACAGAATGTTATAATGATTAATCTAAACTAAAAAAAATAAAAAGTCCAAGAAAATCCAAATTAAATAAATCGAATTACTAAATGTTGAAAGAAACTTTTATAAAATACTATTTAAAACAATAATGTTGTTTCATCAAATGACATGGTTTCCTTGAACGAAATAAAAGTTTTTATTTTTATTATTCTAAAAAATGATATTTCGTTTAAGAATATAATATTTTAATGAAGCAAAAAACCACAAAATTAAACAAGTACAAATATTAAATTTAAAGAATTTTCTCCGAAAAAACAATATAAGAAGTTTAAGAGATATGTAATAAGACAAATTCTAGTATTAATAACTGCCATTAACAAGTACTATTCTAAGTACTATTCTATAAGCATTATTAATGTGATATGAAATATAAGTAACAAAAATAACTAGTAAATAAGTAAAAAATATTATATTATATTCATCATATTTCTGAAGTAATGCTGCAATATTGCTAAAGTAATATTGCAAATTAATGTCACTGCAACATTGCACTGCAATATGCAATTTTGCAACGTTGTAGCAATGTTGCTGCAAGCTTCTGTGCTGTATGGGTACATATGAGTTACTACTTATGATTACATGTTGTACGTGTAATACATATATAGGGTGGCCCACGTAAAGTGTTACAAGCTAATAACTCTAAACATATTTATCCTATCAAAAAGTTGTTCATGAGAAAGTTTCATATATTCGAGGGGCCTTTCTAACTATGTAAACAAAAATCCACTTCCGTCCCCCCTTGAAGAGGGGCGGGGGTAACTTCAAAGTTTTAAATGGGACCCCCTATACAATGTTACATATTTGGATTCTACAGAAAAAAATACGTAAACTTTGTCTGAAACATTTCTTTGGAAAATGTTCCTATAAAAAGTTATAAACATTTAAACTTTTAGCTTTTCGGGGAGGTCCTATTCAATGGTCCCCTCGTTCACCTGATCTTACACCTTTGGACTATTTTTTATGGGGGTATATCAAAGAGGAAGTCACATATCAACCACTTACGACGAAAGAAGACTTAAAACGAAGAATACGTACAGCTTGCACTAAGATGACCCCAGAAATGTTTAAAGTTAGGCAAAGTTTTGTAAAAAGAATTAATAAGTGTTTAGATTATAATGGTCAACAGTTCGAACATTTAATAAAATAAAACAAAACAGAAAAATTATGAGTCTTATTTATCATTAATTGCAATGCACTCTACATTAAAGTTTAAATGTTTATAACTTTTGATAGGAGCATTTTCCAAAGAAATGTTTCAAATAAAGTTTACTTGTTTTTTCCCGTAGAATCCAAATATGTAACATTGTATAAAAAGTCCCATTGAAACTTTGAAGTTACTCCCCGCCCCTCTTCAAGGAAGGACGGAAGCTGCTTGATAGCCAATAAGATAGAGTGAGAAAGCACTAGCGGCAAATCGACTTTCTCACTCTGTTTTAAACTGCCAACTTCTGGCTTCACTTTGCGGACAGAATGTTTGGTCTATATATATATACGTCATTGAATAATATAAAGTCTTATTTCTCGAATTCTCCTAGTATAGAGTCGCTCATAAACAATCTAAAGTTGGAGCAAGGATTTATTAATTCAGGGAAAAAGGATATCTTTCGGAAAATTTTACAACTAATATGTAACTTTGCTTGAATATTTAAAACAAGGTATACAATTTATAAAGTTGAATGTCTCTTAAAAATGTTTTATTTATTTCGTGGGTTTTAAGTTTATATTCCGCAACATACACAAATCTCGGGCGGTTGCCTTGCGTCCTATCATAGTTCTCATATCGTAAAATCTTAGTAAAATGTCCGTGGTGAATAGCTCAGGCAATGCTTTCAAAAGACAAGGTACCTAAAAAAAAAAAAAAAAAAAAAAA